TTGGCACAAAGATGAATGTGCCAAAACGTAAAACTTTTCGGACACAAGAAAACCCAGGAGGCACTATTAAGCATTTAGCGTCTAAAGGTTCCACATTTTAATCCAACATTATTTTAAGAAGCTCTGGAGCCAGGCAGACTTGGACTTGAATCTCACTGTTGCCACCTTCTACTCATGTTACTGAGCAAGTTCCTTCCTCATCCCAGTGTCCTCCTGGTAACACGGAGCGAATGGGCACCTACCTCACAGCGCTGTGTCCACAGCCTGTGGCCTGCGGTGGGTGCTCCGTGAGGTCGAACATGACCACCTGTGCCATTTTTTGCTCTGTTCCTGTCTTCCCTCCATGTGCTGTGCCAAATTTAAGAAATCTGATTTTTACAGGTATATATAAATTCCAATGTGTTCACAGCAGTGGGTGTTTTTATCTCCTAAAAAAGAGTGGGAGAAGGGGGATATGTTGGACATTACGGGTGTGGAATAATGATAGGAGAGTTGGAGCAGGCCAAGTTTACTGATGTGGGCTCACTGAGCAGAGATTGTGCATTTCATGCTGCAGCGTGGTGAGTGAGAGGGTTCTGACAGTTTGGTTGGTTGGCTGAAACGTGGACCGAAAGATGGCCCACGAGTGAGCACATTGAAAATGCTGAACAACAGTATAGTGGTCACCAGAGGGAAAGGGGGGGGGAGGCAGTAAAGGGTAAAGAGGGTCAAATATATGGTGATGGGGGAAAACTAGACTGTGGATGTTGAGCACACAATGAAATATACAGATGATGGATTACAGAATTGTACACTCACTTGAAGCTAATATGATGTTATTAACCAATGTCACCCCAATAGATTTAATTTAAAAAGAAAGGAATCATCTTGTCACTGCCCAGGAACCACAAAATCAATGTGTAATGCTACATCTCTCAAAGTAGTGTTCTGCTCATGACCACTGGGGAAGCTGGTCCAAATGTAAGTGATGACACATGTGCGTGGTGGGAGGCCACAGTGACTTCTGGGAGCCATTGGTTCATTCTAAATAAAGCAGATTCAGTCAAGGCAAAAAAATGAGCTGCAACTGCGGAAAATATTCCCGAACACATGATTATTGTATTAAGTTTCCCTGAACCACGAGCTCTTGTTACACGAATCCTTTGCCCATGTGTGGAACTCTATCTTGTGGTCAAAAAGGGGAAAATTCTGTTAAAGCTTTGAGGATCTATATTGCACAGAGAGAGAAAGAGACCAATTTCTTAAAAAATGTCTCAAATAACTTAAAAAATAGCTCTCCTTGTCACTCTCAGAAAGACAGGACCGAAATTGCCCGATGGCTTTGACTAACAACCCCCTCTTTTGTGTGGGCTCCATTCTCAACCACATGGCTCTAAGGTTGTGAAGTGGGTGTAGGTTATAAATACCCAAATTACAGCAGCGAGTCTGCATGAATGATTTTTTCCCCTTTGTAATAATAATGTCAGGGCTGTTATTACACTTGGCTCCCTCCGTGGGGGGATTGGAAGGGTTTCTCCGAAGGGAAGTGCTTCCAGCTCCATGGCTCTTTCAAGGGCTCCATTCCCATGTACTTGCTGGAAACTTTCAGGAAACCACATTACTTTTCACATCCCCATTTAGCAATGTGATCTCTCCCAGCCAGAATGTTTCCCAGACCACCTCATCAGTCAGCCTGGGAGTGGAATGTGACCACGAGGGGCGAACACGTTGGGGTTTAGGTCTTGTTTCCATGTTGTGTTTGTGAGTAAGAGAGACAAGCAATGATTTTTTTTTTTTCTCCTGAGAATATTTAGTCAACCCCCAGCATAGTATTTCAAAGGATTCAAAGTCTCTAATAAATCAAAGGATTCAAAGTCTGTAATCTGGCGATTGAGTGGAAATGGAACTGGAAGGACAGTGATACAATTCTGCTCAACGTGGCTGGAGTTGGCCTGGACTTTTAGGTCAGGAGACAGTTGACAAGTCTCAGAAAAATCCATAGGAATCTAAGAGGTAATTTTCTGTAACTTCTGTTGCAAATAATCAGACCAAAGGAAATTAACTGTAAGAATAGTGAGATGATAGTCTTTTGTTTTAAAATTCAATGAGAAAAAAAAAATAGAGAGGGAGGGATTAAAAAAAAAGAACAATCAGTTTTTGAAAAATAAGGTAGGGATTTTAAATATCAGATGATTTTGGATGATTTACTTTATTTTTAAAAAACCAAAGCAACTATTAACACAGAGCAAGAACATCCAACTAAGTATTACACACCACCCCATCCCATGCCACCAGCAGACGATGCCATGGAAATCTTAGACCATAAAGCAGTTTCTTACTTACCACAGGCACAACCGTCTTAGTGGTTTGACCCTTTGGTTTTGTTTCATTTTTTATTTTATTGTGCACGCATATGTGGTGGGGTTAATAAACTGGGAGATTAGATGGTGGGGGTAATAGTGTCCAAAGGGGTGGCATATTAAATGTCAGCTATAGCCCAGGCTTTATTTTTTAGGTGTTTATTTGATCCAACTACTTATTAATCTCCATAGTACACAATTAAAGCTTATTTCCTCCCTGACTAAAATTTGTAAACTGGGATGTTAGTTGTCGAAGATTCCTAGGTACTCCATTTCATTCTCTCAGGGCCACTTCTGTGTTGTCTTCTCTGTCTCTCTCTCTCTGTCTCTCTCTCTCTGTCTCTCTCTCTCTGTCTCTCTCTCTCTGTCTCTCTCTCTGTCTTTAGATCCTGGGTGACTTCCTCAGATACACATTCTGGTTCACTAATTCTTTTTCCGCCCATGTCTCATGTGGTATTCAAATCAATTATGAGTGCTTAATTTTAATGACTGTATATTTTTTCTAACAGTTCTATTTTTTCACAGATATCTATTCATTATTTAACCTATCTGATTTCTGTATGGATTCTCTTTTTTCTTTTATCTTTTTAATAATTTAAAAATATTTATCTTATAATTCACTTGACAGTATTTTTCTGTTGTTGATGTTCCCATGTTTTGCTATGTCTGCTGACTCATTTGTAATGAATACTTTCTTGTGTGTCATAAAATTTTTGATGATGAGATTCTCTCAAGAGGGATTTTTTTCTCCTGCAATCCTGTGTGGTCTTGATTGAAAGAATGTGTCTCTCAGAGCAGCTCTGTGCTTGCTTTTCCAGGCCCTCGGGGGTTCCTGAACCCTGAGAATATCAAACCATGCAAGGAACTATCATAACTTTCTGTTTCTCATGTGGGCCCCTTTCTATAACCCAAGTCCAAGCAGTGGATGTTAAGGCTGATTTGCAGCTTGTTTTGGTCCCACCTGTTTTGGGGCTTTGGTGCCCAGTTGTCTCTGCCCCTGCACAGTGATCGGCTCTCCATGCCGCCCCAAGGCCTGGCAGGAAGGGACAACACAGCAGAGCTAGGAGCTACCTGATGCACAGCTCACAGCTCTGCAGAGACTGGGAGGCTCTCAGAGAGAGAAGTGTCATAACAACATTAACCCAGAGAAATATTCTTGAGGCTACAGTAAAGATGAGAAACTAAAAACTACAAACCAGAGGTAATTCAAGACATCGCCTTGTTTTGTTCTTATTTTTTAATCCTGACCTGAAGATATTTTTTCTATTGCTTTTCAGAGAGAGTGGAGGGGGCGAGAGAGAGAGAGAGAAGCATTGATGTGAGAGAGACACATTGATCGGTTGCCTCCTGCACTTGCCCAGGGTCAGGGATCGAGCCTGCAACTGAGGTATGTGCCCTTGGCCAGAATCAAACCTGGGCCGATGCCCTAACCACTGAGCAAAACCGACTAGGGCCTTGTTTAGTTCTTAAACTCAGGACTGCAGGTCTCTAAACTGCCTGTGACAGTCTTAGAGGTTTGTCACTTGGGAAGCACAGGTAAGAATTAATGTGGGGAAAATGAAAATGATTAAAAGTCTCATTGATGTAGCTGTCTGTGGCCTTTTGAAAGTCTGATGCATTCGTGCACCTTCTGTCCTGGTCAGCAGGAGCGAAGGAGACAGAGCTTTGGTTCTTAAGCGTGGAGGAAAATACACACACCGACGACTATAATGTGATGTACAAATACACCTATAAGACGAAGGGACACGGAGAGGGGGCCGCTCAGCTCTCAGAGAGCGTGTTGTGAGGAAGCAGCGCTTGGGCTAGGCCTTGGAGGACCAGCAGAGTTCTCATTGGTGAATAAGGCATTCAGTTAAGTTATGAATACAGGAGCAGATTTCTTTTTCCAAAAAAAAAAAAAAATTAATGGTTTCAGTTTTCAATATGGTCATTTCAAGTGCTTACAGAGCACCCAGCAGACAGGTGGAGTTTTACAATTCTGGAAATAGAAAGGATGGGAATTAGAGAACCGGTCTGGGAATCACTGGTGT